ATCCAAAAGTGATTCGACCTTGCCATAAATAATTTTGGTGTCATTGTTACTGATAATTTCTGCTATAGAATCATGGCTGCCAAGGGATGCAAGAACTGTAGATGACGTACCAGGAAAATTCCAATTCTGCATCACTGGACTGCCTGGTGTTCCCAGGTTTGAGCTATGCTTAACTTCTTCAGAATTTATGTAGAAGAAAATCAGGATCCCTTTTGCAAATGTTCTGTTCCTTGTCACCCTCTAATCGAGGTCTAGCCATGTTAGGAGACTTGCTGACAGCCTACGACAAGAAGTGGGCAAAGCAAAAAGTTCTGGTCTTTCTCAAGTGTTTCTGCTCAGGCAAACTAGAACCAGAGGCCAGGTGTCTGCCTGTATCACTTGTGACATCTTGAGGCAAGATATTTTGCTTGCTCAGCCTTCTTAGAGGATTCATGTGATGCTCATCAAGTCAAGTAAAATGTATCTTATGCAGATAGTCTTTAATGACACCACTACATCACACAGTAAGTGTCTGAACACCAGGGAGGTTGTGCTCATTCATGGGGTATGCATTGACAAGGAATTCTTCATAGGCTAAAGCAGTTTCTCCAGCCAAAGAGAAAATAAAAAAAACAACAAACCAGAAGCGCTAGTTTCTAAACTAAACCACATCTTAACATCTATTTAAATGTTAATATAAATTAGCAAATAAGAAAACACTAATAAAGATTAGTGAAAAAGAAAATTGCTACTATCATTGGCTAATGAAAAGCTCTCTTTGTAGCCACTGGTAGTCCAAAAAATGAGGGGTGGCAGGATTAACACTGCTCTTGCACAAGGAAACAGTTGTTGCTTTCACAAGTGCTGCTGAACAGCGTTGTCCCACTCAAAGAGTTCCAGATGCACAGGTACGAATGGCTGCAAGCAGCGCCTGTGTATCAATGCACAGCACACACACAGACAGACACGAGAATTCCAAGTACTTTTAAAGATAATAGAATTCAGAAGGGCTTTTTTTGGCTTTATCTATGTAATAGCAAGAGGCAGATGAAAGAAAATTACAAAGGTAAGGAAGCACAATATAAATTATTTGGTTTCAACATACAGGGTGACAAAGAAATTCGTATCTCAAGGATAAGCCTTATGGGGATTCAGAGTAGTTTCCTCAGGCCTAAGTGTCTCAAAAGAGCCTGTTGCAGCCTGAGAAACTCAAACACTATATATTACCAGGACCAAGTGCTATTTTTAAAAGAACTCTGGAATAAATATGAAAAAACAACAAAACCAAAAATGGAGATACAGTTAGGATTTTGTTAATTACCATTAAAAATGTCCACTGCTCTGGACAACTGCTCACAGCTAAACTGCAGCCTCTAAAAGCTGCAGTTTTAGATGAAACTGAGATATATTCATAGAGTAAGGCAGTGCCTTTCTCAGGCTGCTTTATGCCTGAGTAAGCATAAAATAGTGGGATCACAATGTAAGAGCTCTGCAAGTTACCTGTATGTTCTAAGCTACTAGAATTGCTCAAACAAAATAAAAATTAAAGATACTCCAAGAACCATGAGGAAGTCCTAAAGTTTAATCGTGATTTGGAAATGGAGTATGTAACCACTCCTCATAAGAGGAAGAATGTAGTAATTTTTCTGAGCATGAGAAGTTATTTGAATCTTCTTCAACCTAGAACAGGCTCTTACCTATGCTGCTAATTTGTGAGGAGAATTGTAAACTCTCCTGTAAAACAAACAAACAAACCCCCCCTGAAACTCAAAAAGCTTCTTCAAATATAATAAAAAGAAAACAGTTTGAGGTAGATTGCAGGAGAGAAGAGGTGAATCCCCTTGCTCGCTGTTGAACAGCCACGCAGTTGCTCCCTGCTTTCTGTCTTCAGCAGATTTAGAGAATGTAGGAGCATAAAGCAGTTTAAAGCCACCTTTACTGGTGCTCTCTTTAGCAATAAAAAACAGAACTTTGGCATAATAGAGATCTGTGATGCAATTCAGAAACACTTCGTTATCTCAGTGTTCATCTGCTGGAAACATAAGGTATTCCTTTAGCGTGCTTTAATGGGTACTTATATTTATTGTATGCTCATTTTACCGTTACTTCAGGAAACATCTTAGGAAAAAATATGGAACTTGCAAGGAACTGCACAGTTAGTCCAATAAAAGCAAATTCCACTACCCTTTGAAATTCTACCTGCAGCTTGCTTTCATCTGCTAAGAGTAATAGCTATCACTGCCAACAATCTTTGAACAAAACCATTTTGTGATTTCTTTTTTGTACATATCCTTGATTTAGCAAGAAAGATGGGCAACATCTGTGGCAACTTCCATGGGGTACTTTTTCAGAAGAGAGGTGAACTTCGATCTCCTTGGGCTTCTGAAAACCAGGTTTTCTGTTTCATGGAAGAGTACTCTCACCTTGTTTCAGATTGTTTCAGCCAGTTTCTTAAACTCTTCCGATGGATTTTAGCAAGTCATGACAATTTTAAACCAGTTCTTTGGTCTGACCCTATCTTTCCCATTCCCCCTTTTCAATCACAGCATGTATCCTTACCCTCTGTTGTTTCTGTCAGCAGTTTAAAGATATCTGATTACAATAGATTTTTTAACATGTTTTGAGGGGCAGAAAGATTCCTTAAGGCTTTCTTGGCATCATGCTACATCTTCTGTACTGTAGTAGAAGATTAACTCTCACATCAGTTTCCCTAACACTGTTGCAGCTGTGGATTTTCAGCCACAACTCCAGTTCCTCAGATGAAGATGAGCTGTTATAACCTTGGCCTTATCTGATGAAGAAAGAGATCACCTCTGTATTGTTTATGTCAAAGCAGAAGACCCTGTGCCCCCGAGACAGAGTTTTTTCTGGAAACTTTCCTGGCTACCTCATACAGTACCTACAGCATTCCATTACCACATGGATATACAGTAACCAATACAAGGGAGATTCTAGGTTCTCTTTACAAACACTTCAAAGAAAAAAAAACCACCAAAATACCTAATTTGTGTCCTTTAATTTTCCAATATATTAGACATCTATTTCATTTGAAGAACAAGGTTTTTAGTTTCTCAGCACAGGGGAAAACACAAACTGGAAGTATACAGCTACTTGCATTGGTAGCAACTTAAAACACATACAAAGAACAGATTAAAGCAAAGGAAATGATTAAAAAAAACCAAACCCAAGCCTCTTGTTAAATAGCAGAAGCTCCCATAGATGTGCCTGCAAGAGAGTCTCAGTCATTAAATAAAGCTGGAGCGTGTATCAGGCTAGTTCACTGCCAGCTTACAAACTTTTATGTTTTAAAATCTATTACTTGCATTCTTGACAGCAGTTTATCTAAGTACTTTGCATTAGTAAGATTATGTGATATTAAAGTATGCTAGTCTTAAGTTTTATCACAAGGACAAAGTACTGCTCTAAATTTCCACTACGGTGCTTTAAAAATAAGCTTCTATAAAGGCATTAAGAAACTGTGGAGATACTCTATTTAACCAGGCTTTAACATTTGTCTTATACAAGAGATAAAACTTCATTCAGAGGTAGTTTTTACAAGCACACACATTTTTTGCCCCTCCATTTTCTCTATTTGTGATATGGAAATGAAAAAACCAGCTTGTTGAAAGCAATGAATAGCTGAATTCAAGCACGATTCCTTTCTGGAACCTCCACAACAATACAACCAACAGGGGGCTGTCTGGCTACACGATGTTATCGCCTCTGCAGTGAAATCCTTTTTCTGACTGTACCACCTACTATCCACAGACGCTTCCTAAAATTAGTTGTCACACAGGCCATTTAACAGATTTCATACCTGCAAAACATTAGAGCTCTTGTCCATCTTTGTCTCATATTACTGAAAATTTTTTATTTTTGAGTCAGAAGTTCCATTATACATAGATGGATAACATAGTCTTAACGTATTTTTTGATGTGTCTAAAAAAACAGATATTGCTTGTTGGAAAAGAGGGACACTTTCACATTGTCTTCATGACAGGAAAGGTGTGTCACAGTTGTTTAGCTATAAAGCTATATATATATATCTTCTTATAGCTAAGAAGCTATATATATCTATATAAGCATTTTTGTGTTGGTTTCACATGTAGATACCAATCTTCTGCAGAAGAGAGAGATGAAGGTGTCTTTAGACTCTTTAATACTGATTTAAAGAGCAGATAGGCAAAGACTCTCTGTAGGAGTATGAAGAAAGGAAGAATAAGGCCCTGAGTATTCCTTACAGTGGTTTAAGCAATTAACTTTAAATTAACTTTAAAACTGGATTGCCATTCTTGAGAGTGGAGGGTGCTTTTCTTGGTGCCAGCACTGTTGCTCACACAGCAAGCACATTCAGCTGGCTAAGCTTACCAAAAACTAACCTAAAGTTATTTAATGAAACCACCATGGAAATATCAGAGGCAGGCTCATGTTGAAGGTAACAGGAAGGCTCTCAATCCCAAAACTTGCCTGGCTCGAGAATCACAGGACTGTAGAACCATAGTCATATATTATTGTTGACTATTCTAACTGGTCCAATAATGTGACCCCTGAAGCTTTTAATTTGCCTTTCTTTCAATAAAAGATTAAAATTTATACATCTGAGATTTTATATGCTATAATTTATGCCTTATATACTTCAAATTTTGTAATACTTAAAGTTTTTCTGTGTATTTGTTGAGAAATTCCAAAATATTTTACTTTTAAAACCACTTGAAAGTGTAAAAGCTGTATAAAGTTCCTTTATAGGTAATAAAGCCACTGCTTGCCCTGCAGAAACATAGGGAAATGTGAACCTTTCTATCCATGTCTGTCTCCTGTGGCTATAAACAGCAGAAAAGAACAATATGGATATATTGTTCCCATCTCTCAACAGAAACTAAGTCAGCCTTTAGCTACTCAGCACTGTATACTTTAGATTGAAGATACAAACTGGATAAATGCTGCTATAATTAATTTTTTAATTTCAGAACTTTCAAACGTAAGATTCAAATTTTACATTAAGAGACAGAAGCAATGTTAGATAAATTCAAATTTGATTTATTAACAAATACAGAGCTATTATAAGTGAATAAAATGTGGAAAAAAACTGCACCTGAAAGCCATTAAATACATTCTAACAGAAATAAACTATGTAGTGAAAAATACACCAAACATTTTTATCCCCCTCACAGAAAGATGAGCATTGTCACTCATGGTACTGCATTTTTTCCATAATTCTTTCTTATTTCTCTTTATAGGTAAACATTTTATTCTGATACACGCAACTTCCACCTTAGAAAGGAGATTCACATATATCTCAGACATAGTGTTTTCCTTCAAATACATTTTAAACTTTTTGTTTACTTGTTTCTTACATGAAGAATTGCTGCTCAGCTTCAAGTTACACTGTGGTAAAATAGCAGCTCACCACTTTGGATATATTTCTATCATTTCTTGTGATTTCTGTGACAGGCTGTGATGAAGAAGATAAAGGAAGTCTAAACATTTCAAATTTCCATCATTACTGTTAGTATTGCTACCTGTCTAGGACAGACTTCCCTCAATACTTAACAAGATACCATGACTAAGGGAAAAGCTGAAACATTTTCAGATCTTGGTATCCAAATACTCAGTACAGGCCACTCTCACTCAGCAAAGTGTGCCGTGTGCAGTACCAAGAAAACTGCTTTTGAAATTTGAAGAACAATGGCCTGTAGAAGTGCTAAATACACAGGTCTAAGTCACTTTACATTTTCAACAAGGCACTGCTTACCACTGTACAACTAGTTCATTCTTTCTGCAAAATAGGTCTTCACAGGTAAATTTATTGTCAAACATGATGAAGCTGAAACATGAACATTACCTTCAGTGTATAGAATATTTTACAGAATATTGAAGATGTTACTTCTGAAACGACATTCAAAAATGGTACAAGTATTTAATAATAAGAGTTACATTTGCAAAATGAATCAGTGACAAGAGGACAAAAATCAGAGTATTTTGGAGTTCACAGGACTGCACAAATAGACCATGAATAAACAACATGGAAACTCTGCTTCTCAACTTGAGCTGGCAACAAGAAAAGTTGATTGCAGATCTTGTCTTTAAAAGATGCACAATACTCACCTCTTCCTCCAAAATCAGAATTGAAGAATGCCATAGAAAATTCCATAAGGAAATGTACTCTAGTACAGCTACTAAACAGAAGTGTTTCGTTTTATTAAACAACCAAACCCCAACAGCCCTTCAGCTAAGTTTCTATTATCCCTATTTTAAATATGACATGGAGGTGTAGAAACTATCATAGTATGCCACAGTTTGAGGTATGCTTTAACAAGATAGGAGGCTGTTGGGAGACATAACATTACAGAACATTTTAATTCAAATGACAACTCCCAAGAAACTCACCTACAAATGTAAACTGACAGTGTTTCCTTCAGACATAAGAGTCTTAAGTTAGACACCTCTAAATTAAAGAGGAATACAAGTATTACAGAAGCCAAGGCCCAGTAACTTGTTTAGCATCATATAAGAATAAAGGCAGAAAAATAAACACCTCATCCAATTCTTAGGAATTCTCACTTGACGTGACCACGAAGACATGGTTTCCTCTACTTGTAGCAGTTATTCCATTGCCTACAGAATTTTCTACTAATCTGCAGCACCTATAGCAGCATTAAGCTTCTTGCTGGCACTGCCCAAAAACATCTTGCCTGGCCCAGCACCCGCACCCAGCCAGTCCTATCATTAGGTTGAATATTCTGTGTGGTCACAAAGATTGCTTCATAGTACACTGACACAAGGGGGCAAATGAAGATTGCAGAATCTTAAAGTAGGAGTTACCTAACCTCTTACCTTTTCATTTTGTGATCTTCATGTTCTTTTTACAGTTATCAGGTTGTGTTTTGTTTATTTTCCCCACAAAAACATTTCCCCCTTTGAATTTTAATTCCCCTTATTAGTTGAAGTATTTTATTTACTTCCACAAAGATGATGAGAGAACTGAACAATCTTTCACACGAAGAAAGGCCGAGAGAGCTGAGACTCCAGCCTGGAGAAGAAAAAGCTTGTGTTTGTGTGATCTTATCAAAGTTTCTAAACACCTGCTGATGGAAGAAAGGGACAGTAAAGAAGACATAGGCAGGCTCTTCTCCGTTGTGTCCAGTGATAGGACAGAAGGCAACAGGTACAAAATGAACTGCATGAAATTCTGTCTCAACAGGACAGGTTGCAGTCTCCATCCTTGAAGATATTCAAAAGTTGACTGGACACAGCCCTAAAGAAGCTGCTCTGCCCGACCCTGCTTGAACTAGATGATCTCCAGAGGTCCTTTCCTACCTTAACTACTCTGTTATTTTGGGACTCCTTTTCAGGACCAAAATCCACAAAGTAGTAGCTGAGGGCACTAATAAGCTTGCTCTTTTCTATGTGGAATATGATGAGGGGAATGAAATTGACAGTCATTTTGCAGATCACAGCAAAAGCTACTACTTAACAGTCTACATTCCCTTCTGGATCTCAAGAATACCCTAGTGAATGTTAGGAATGATCTGGAGTGTGCGAGCCCTTTCCCCCAAGCCTGACTTGTTCTCTTTGCTTCAAGCCAGATCCCTTCTGTCAGGCTGCTGCTTCTTCCAACTTCAAGAAACAAACCCCAAATCTTTGCCCAAACTATTTCAATCCTTCAGATTTTCCAGTTTATCAGAACTGTCTTTCCCCTATTAGTTCTCAGCTCAAATCTTTCAATATCAGATTTTCAGACACGCTCCTCTCACTAGACATCTTCACACCTATATAGCTACTAGTCTCAGTTTATTTTCAAGCAGGCCTTCCTTTTCTTTCTCTTTTATGTGAATTAGGCATCTTTTTCCTGTGCAGTTCCTAAGCCTAGCAGAAAATAAGCACCTGAACTGAAAACAGTGAGCCTTCCTTTCTCACATCAGGCACAATCCTTAGGATCCCAGAGTTGCAAGGCAGAGGGGGTTTGATTTGGTCACAGCCTATGGCACCATCCATGCAGGCAAACCTCTGGAAAATATAACTGCTAATATTATTTAAGTCACCTGTGAACCATGCGAGAAATACAACATCCTTTCCAAAGGTTTAGGATCCAAATAATTTGAGTAGGCCTTCATAAGCACTTCAAGTCATTTTCTTAATCTTGACAGGAACTTTGGTTCCTCAGTTGAACTCTGGTTCTGCAAGTGCTCAAATTGTGTTTTCGTCCTGTCACTGAACTGTTCTAAGTTGCTAGGGCCAACAAACAAGGTGGTCCAACCTTCGTCCTTCTGCTTCTTCCCATTCCCTGCCATCTCCTGCTTTGTGCCAGTGATACGGGTTTGCATGGTGAACCAGAAGGAAGCAGTCTGTTCCTATAAAGGCCTACATGGGCACAATGAAGTAGTCAGGAACACACGGTTTGGCCATTGGACTTTGACAAAGCCATGCAAATAGACTTGTTGCATGCTTTCAAGTCTTTCTGATCAGCTCCTTAGATTCATATCTACTCATACAAGTCCCTGGGAAAAATCCTGGATATATTAAAATACCAGATCTACAAGAGCAACAGGATGGATGGCCCCCTGCAAGCAGAAGTCTGCAGTGGGCTGACAAAAATCAGTGATCTTTAAAGGACGTGGCATAGTAGAAGAATAACATCTTTTTCTTTTATAACTCACAGAATCTGGTCTAGCCAAGCAATTCTAAGTTTTCAAATGGCTGAAATGTATGTGCAGGTCTTCAATGTTAAGCAGTTAAAGATAAGCAAATATAACATAGTGCTACTTCAAGAAATTCAGTGAGAAAGCTATTCACCTTTGAGCCAGATAGCATATTTTTTTCTAAGTAATCAACCTCAGTTTGGTCACGTATCTTAAGAGAGCTGTAATAGGTAAAGGTACACATGGAAGTGTTCTTTATGAAAAGACATAGGCTATCTAATTATGCATAGGTTTGCTGCTGAGAACTGCTCAGGTCTGAACTAAGTTGGAAATTTTAGCCATCAGTAGTTTCAACAGTTCAAATCCGTAGCAGTAGCAAACAAGAAAAGCGTAATTTTTAGCAGCACATACACCAGGCTGAAATTCTATACAGTCAAATAATGCAAATTTATGAATTATAAAAACTTGGATTCATATTCATCTACATCATGTTTGTACCTGTGCAACTGCACCAGTAGCAGGCTTGTGAAGGCTGAAGTGAAAACAAATCCCCAGTGCAGATAAGCTTTTTTCCTCCTTTTAAAACATCTATATGATATATAAACTTGACTCTGTGAGCATTTAATTGAAGAAGGCATGTGTATTTTAAATGGTAAAATACAACAGGGCTAATAAAATTAGATTAGCAAGTGATACTGAGTCATGATAGTGAAGAAAATAAAATCTTAAAAGGAAACACACTTTCAGATCTGTATCTAAAATTAGTGACATTTACATAACCATTAGTCTACATTTGACTCACCACACAGTTCTTGCATGCAGCTTTTAAAAGGAAAGGAGCCCAAGTAATTTCCATTCTCACTGCAGCGATTTCAATCATCTCAATGAAAGATTCTCCTGCAAGAGAAAAATCTTAGTGGAAGATGAGAAAAAAAATTAGTAAATTCACAGTCAGATCCACAGTTTAAACTTCTAACCATAAAACAGTTATGGATCTATAGTCAAGCGGTTTAAGAAATGAAGTGTTTAATAGGTTTTGTTAAAAAATTTGGAAGACACTTTTGCTTTGTGAGTTCTCTTTGCTAAAAGCATGACCAAAAATTTCCCAGTTCCATTCATTTAGAAAATGCTGTAAAAATGAATAACCAGTTTTAAGAGTTTTAATAAAGAAATACTGACAATTAAAGTAACATAATTTTTATAGCTTTAAAAAATATAAACAAACACACTTACCAAAGCATTGTTAGACAGGTGTAGCTTGAGATGGCTTCTTTAAAAAGCTCAGTTTTCAGGTAAACCAACACAAAGTTATATATGTCTATCCTATATTTACCATCATACACTATGAAGTTCTAAATATTGTTTCTGAATAGATGAAAATACAAACAAAAGCCAAGAAAGTGTTTATAAACAGACAATATACAAATTTGTGGCAACAAAAAGGCAAAGGAAATACACAAAATGTCCTTTTCCATGACTCACGTGCAGAAGTGGAAAGCCTTACTTCAGCAGCACAGTTAATACTGGAGATATTTACAGTCTTAACACCAATATTTACGTGCTGCTAAAGTATGACAGACATCAGCATCACAAGATTGACTAATTCATAAGTGGTATGTCTCTTCAGGGTGATGAAATCCTTGTATTTTTGAGGCAGCACAATATGGCCTGCACCTTTTCAAAACCCACAAACCATTATGTGCTGCTACGTTATGCCAAGGTGTCTACCATGCTTCAAGGAAATAGAAACATACACTGAGAGCTTAATGCAGAATTTTCTTATTGAATGCTAGCTTTCATGTAGTAACATCAGCTGTATTAATAAACTACAAAATGTTTATAAAACATCTGTCCATTGCCAAGCTGACTGCTTATTTACAGTGCTCTAGACTTTATTGTCAACTGTGCATAAAACCTTAATGGGACATGAACCAGTAACTGGACAAATTGTGTCTGATTAGAGGAACTAAAGATTATACAGATGTTTACTTCAAAAGAAAACAAAAAAGTCTGGGTTATTTTCTAATCTAACTTTTGGTCATCTGGAGATTGATGTGAAAAAAAAAACACAACAACTTTCATATATAACAGAATAAGAGCCAAACTCAAAATAAGCTTCTATCAACTACTATATCAGTCCTCAAGACCTTTGTTACCTCTGCAGCTTACTCTCACTGCAATTTTTGGACAGACAGATTTACAAGTGCTTCTTAATTAATTTCAGGGGAAAAATTTAAAAAAATCCACAACAGATTGTTAGCAAGAATAGTAACTTATCTCTTATTAGGAGCAGGGGTTCATTGGCCCCCAGCCTAGAATGACCATGCTACTTTTACTTGAAGAAGTAGGCAAGAGACTTGGAGTTCACATGCCTGCCAGGTATCATTTTCTTAGACTAAAGTATGCCAGAGATTTAAGGGTGTGCAGTACTTTTACTAGTTCCCTAGATAACATGAATTATGCTTTCTTTAAAGTTTTTATACCAAACTATTAAGACAAAAGCTACTTACACAGCATGGACCCAAGCACTCCACTTCATTACAATAAGCCTTCTAGCCAGTTCACGATAAACAACTTCTGCAAACTAACAGGGCTATCTGTAAGCACAAAAAAAAGGTTTGGCAGGCCACATGGGGAAAAGATTAGTGAGTTTTTCTTTTCTCCCTTCCTATTTTTGCTCCTGCAATAATAAAGCAGGATAATATCTGTTAGAATTCTGAGTGCATGGCCACAACCATGCCAATTAAAGTGAAATTGCCAGTGTAAACTTACAGGTAGCTGTAGCAACACTGTTTTTATATAGCTATCCAGGTAGGAATGCTAACTTTAGGAACTGTATCAAAGAGCCATTTCCAGTGTATTTTATACATGTGCAGCTATATTTACAGTTACACTACCCCCCCGGCTTACTACCTGTTTGATATTTAAATCAGATAGCTAAAGTAGGCAAACTAGATTGAATTAAGGCCCAACTTACCCAGTACCATGGCAAATTAAAACTTGCGTGCAAAGTCAAAATAAACCTAACTGTAAATGCTGTGACAGTTGGTGTCCCCCTGAAGGAACTGTGCTAGGCACAAGCCAAGAGAAGAAAAGGTAAAGACAAAATCTCCACCACATATAGATAATTTGGAAAGTAACGATAGATGTAAGCAGAAGTGCTAGCCAGTAGTAAGAGATTTATTTCAACTGTCATGGGAAAAGAATATGAAAAATGTCCCCCAGCAAGAGAAAATACTGCTTTGTACTTGTAGATTTACCTTAAAAGATTGAAAGAAAATTATTTAAATGAGACAGCTGCAACATTCAATACCTTTAGAAGTACATTTCTCATTTGTACATTCAAGCCAAATTCTTCATTTGTAAACTGTGTGTTTAACTAGATGCTGTTCTTTCAATTGCCTATTTGTTTTCAGCTTCTAGCTTAAGCATGGAGAGCGTTTTTCTGTTGCATGAGTAAATCCCTCTAAAATTAAACTGTACACACCATGAAATGAAGACTTGGCAGAACTATTATGGTATTTTCTACAGTAAGTACATTAGTAAGAAAACTTGCAGGTAATTCCACCCACCCATACAAAATGTGAACAAAAACCTTACATGAATTACAGGACTCTAGGTTGGGGGTTTTTTTTATGATTTTGAGGGGTGGGTTTGGTTTTGTTTTTTTTTAAACTTTACTACAAAATGCCCCCAAACAAACCAACCAACCAAGTAAAAATCCAACACAACACGACTATATATTTTCTACACTGCTATTAAAATATACTTTATCTGTAAGGAGAATAAGAAAATTTTCACATAAAATTGAAGGCCGTGTATGTGAGAAAAGGGGATGAGGAACACAAAAAGGATGAAAAGAAGTCTAAGATAAGAAGTACACTGACAGCTAAGCCAGAAATCTACTGAAATTCAGGAGCATCTGCATCTGTACCTCTATGCTTTGATCATAAAGCTAATATAGTCGTGTTATTGAGAGTGCTTCTCCTACCTCCATCCTTGTGTCTTAAGAAGATCTTGATGAAAGCTGGGAATCATGTATGCAGGCAGCTCTGTTAGATTCTTCTGAACCCCTGAAAGCAAGAGCTCTGCTGAAGATGCACAACTGAAATTCCACAGGAGCAGGGTCTACCACACATACACAGAAGTCAGGAATGCTGCTCGAAAAAACAACTGAAACTGTTAAAAAAAAAAAGAAAAAGAAAAAAGAGGACCAAAAAAAAGTGTGTGCGCATGTTTGTGCTTTTTTTAACAATTGGAGTGTTCCCAAGGAAGGAGCTTTTCCTTGATTTCAGTGTTTCTTATTTGATTTATCAAAGACCAAGCCCAACATAAAATATAATTTTCAGGTTTTGTTGTTTATAGTTAAGAGCTTATGACAACACCAAGCCAAACTCTATCTCTTTCTGACACTATGAAAACCAGCTACAAGTGAATTTCTGGCTACTGTAACTACTAAGAAGCTCTTCAAACAATACTATAACTACCAATAAACTTCTTAAATCTCTGCGTAACATATTGTATCCGAAAAGCTACCACTAGGCCTGCAATCTGACAGACAGGTCAGTTATTTGGAGTAAAACATACAAAGGCCTTTGTATTAAATACTTTATGTTGTCTCAAATGCCCAAGAACATGATATAAGACTAAAAATTTACCTCATGCCTTTTGCTTATACAATAAAACCACTCTCCTGATACTTCTTGGCCAAAACATTTTCCTCACTGATAGTGTTAAACACCATTTGCATACAACCATATTCCATTGCTTTTGTTACTTACTCATTAATGCAAAGCAACACAGATCCACTATGAAAGCAAAGCTATTGCTTCACTGTTTGTTGTGACCCTTTCTCAACCTTATTTCAGTTTAAAATTAGAAATCTGAACATGAAAGACTCCTGGTGTTCCACAGTCTAAAGCATTATATTATTTGTCCAGCAGTGCTACTCTCCTCCATAACACTGACAATAGAAATTACATTTCCGTACCTCAGTTTTCCCAGTTTAGCTAAGTTTAAACTAGAAATGAGACAGGGTTTACACTGAGATGGCACAGCATGAAGTAGAGCATCTTTGACAAGTGTGTCCTGCTCTATGCGTTCCATGCAGAGAGTACGTTACTCATGTTAGACAGCACATTTTGCAGTGTAGCTTTTTGGACAACTGCTGGTGAATCTGCCAAGCTTTCCTCTCACAGTTCAGTGAGACTAATACACCACTCAATATGAATAAACACACAGACAGTGTGACTCTTGCTGGAAATGCTTTTGATTTTTTATTAAATTAATCTGGGCAAAAGACAGAAATCTCACTCTTCATTATCAAGAAGTCTGAACACTTCCATTCTCAAACTTTAAGACTAAGATCTGAAAGTGTATGTAGCTGTATCTTTCTAATACACTGTTTACACCCCTCCCTCCCAGTTTAAATAATAGTTTCATTTTATTTTTGTCATATGCTTACTCAACACTGCAATATTTATACTGCAAACACAGTAGAATTTACAACTCTTGCTCATTCTTAAAAGTTAGATTTAGAACTATATCCTTTTACTTCTGCCTTCTTATTGTTTTGTTAAGGAACCATCTTTTCTCCCTAATTCGTAGTGCTAGCAGCCTTCAACGTAATATGCATGTATTTTTTAAAAGGAGAAAAAAGATTCAACAGAAATATTTCAAAACATTACTTTAAAGATATCAGTGTACTTTTGGCTACTATTACCTTATTATTTGCTTCAGACATATTCAGTTAATTCACTCAACTCAGTTGAGGTTACTTTGTGGTCAGATGAAGAAGAATTAAGAGAATACACCTTGACTGCTCCTCTCTTGAAGTAACAGTGAAATTTTGCATTCATGTTTAAGACTGCAGTTCTTAAAAAAAAAGAAATAAATTCTTTGCTAGGGTTGCATGTGGGTTTTTTTTGGTTGCTGTTTGTTTTTTTTTTTTTTTTTTTTTTTTTTTTTTTTTAATTAAGTAACAGTAATCCAGCAATAAATTTGCCTCACTTCATCTCAAAAAGGAACAGTCATTCAGGACCAAACTTATACACTCTCTATACCTTCTACCAAGTAGTTGAATATTTCTAAGACTATTACAAAGTTGAATTTAAAAAAATCACAGTTAATGCTTTAGATAATCTTCTGAACACAAAGATACATATTTGAACAAAGATAGCTAGCACTGATCTAGAGTTTTGTTAGTATAAACTAAGGAAAAAAAAAAGAGATTATCTGTTAACTATTTCCTGATTATATCAACAATATCCCCCATACAACCATGGCAAAAGCCTAGGAGAACTACATTGTTTGCAATGTAAAGTACTAATAATGAAAGTGAAGCAGATGACTGCTGATTACTGAAATTTACTGCTACTAAATTTGGAGAATCTATATCATGTGTCCAGCCATCTCTCCAAGGATCACGAACAAACAGATTTAGACTAGCTGGAGAACTACTGCATAAGATAAACATGAAATAACAAAGCCAGCTAAAAATAAAAACCAGGAAGCAAAACCATTGAGAAATTCAGAAGTATAAAAATACCTGGAAACTTAGAAGTGCAGTTAAGGACTCTCAGCATCAAGTTCTGGTTTACATCCTTTTTACTTAATCTAAGACTCCAATTACTGCTTCTACTAGGTTGATTCACATTCGTTCGTATGAAGTGCACTCCCCCCCACCGCAGCCATGAAGACAAACCAAACCAAAGACAGTTGCTTGGTTCTGCAATATTGGTGCTTCTACTGGAGTGATGAAGAGCAAGGAGAATGCAGTGAAAGGCAAGAAAATAAAGGTAGTCAGTTCTGACTTTAACAAGCACAGTATGTCAATTTTTATAGCTGGCTAGCTAAAAAAAAAAAAGCAGAATTATGGGAAGCTGATATAGCACACAAAAATTACTAATGTATATTTTGGTATATTATAAGTATATTTTAGAATAAACTCTAGCTTAAAAATAAAATTGTATAAGACTAACCCCTCCCACCTCTTTTACTAGCTTCTAAAAAGTGCTTTGTCAGATGCTGATGCATTAACTAGATTGGTCTATGAAATACTTTAAAGGGAACTTGTAAAGTGTATCAATCTCCAAGTTCTAACAGAGTTTGTAAAAGCTACATTTCATAAAAGCTTTCCAGATCCCTCTTGACTGCACTGGTATAGCTAGCACACAACTTTTAAAAATCTGTCTTCCCTGCACCTTTGGCAAGCACACAGGAAGAAAACTGTGTGAACACTTTCAATCTGTACCAGCATTCTTTCTGCTTGAAAGGACACATACAAAATTAAGAAAAACGAAGAAGCTATTTTTTAAGTTCTACAAAGTAAGTTTTATATTCCATTGCACTAGTAATTAAAATGTTACTTAGCCCTCAATTTTATCACAAAATATATTAAAACTACATATAGTGGATCTACCAAAAAGAAAGCCAGACCACTCTTAAAATCTTCAGCTTCTGTATTAGCATTTTAAAAAAAATTCTAACACCTCTTCAGATGAAAAAAAAAACAAACAACCAAACAATACCGAGATACATTTTCTCATGGTCTCCAATAAACTCCCCTTATCCTTAGATTATTATCTTCAGCAAAGGTATCCTATTACAGTTCAAATTTACAAAACCTGAAGTATACAGAATCATTGCTGGTAAAAGAGAAAATGTAACAATCCTTCTCTGAACAACAATAACTGTACAATACAAACCAGCTAAAAATATGAAGTTATTAAGAAAGGGAAACAGTTTCTCCTCTTAAACACATTAGATTCTTTAAAAAATATATTAAAATTATATCAGCTATTAGTTTTCTATTAATTTTAAGCTTTCTTAAAAAAAAATAGTTTTATTAAATTCCCAGATGACTTGCTGATTTAGCCCAGGAAGCAGTCACAGGCCTAGTGTAAAATTCTGTGCTCTCCTAAGCTTTTATGTCTCCTGTCTTTTATGAAAGATGGCCATGCAGGTATTGCTGTTTAAATCTTCTAATTCTGTAATATACAGCAAAGCATTTCTTGTCCTCAACAGAATATTCAAGTAGATTTTGCAGGAACCCTGCTGGTCTGTGCACAGGATCAATTTCCAAGATATTTCTGGGAAAGTGGAAAATACAGTGTTAACTAGACTGCCTACCTAATTGCTGTCTTATCTGAAACTGGTAAATAGGAATAAATCATAGGACAGTAGTAGCACAATATATTTTTTAAAAAATTGGCCTTATACGTAAATAATAGCTATTTATACTATGCCAAACCACAAATCTTAAAATTAGATTTTGTTACATCTCAGTATTGTATGGGACTATAATACTTAAAGACAAAAACCAGGCCCATAGCTCAGAATGAAACCCCACTTGTAAAGGGCTAAATTTGCTGCATGTCCGCTTTCAATGATTTAGGGTCAGAGTGACAATGCTATAAAATAAGGGTCAAAGCACAAAAAGACCAAGGCCACAGAACAAAGAGCTTTTCGTGTCCTGAAAGAAGTTGCTTTTTTGTAAGCCTGCCTTCTGGCTCAGACAGTAAATTTGTCTTTTTCTTAGCATCATCCCTACATGACTTCTATAAAATGCCAGACAACAGTATGACTTATGAAAGGTGAGGCTGACTTGTTAGAAGAAATCAATTTAACTGTTAAGGGAATTCCCTAGTTAAGGGCACAGGAACCTCCCAGTAACTGCTATAACTTTTCCAGTTGTTAGCTGTATTTCTACAACTTTGTTATTTAATTAATCACTTCAGCAGAAGTTTCAAGTGTCCTTAACACCTTTGGGGTGCAGATTCGTAGTCATATTATCTACTTAGATTATTGTTTATTAAATGGTTGCTGAGGAAATATGCAGGAGCAGCAATCTTTTCCCCACCTGCCCATGAAATATTAATAGAATAATACTAATATTAACAGATACCATCTAACACACAAATCTGTATACTCCCTTTCAGAAACATTCATGGTTTGGTTTCCTATTTCCCATAAATGGGAATCACTACTCACAGAACTGAGCTAATACAAAATAAAATGGTGCTTTCTGAGGCTGACATAGGTTGATAAGCAGTGAATTTAATTTTTCCAGCTAGAAAATGAGCTTCACTTAGGATATGCTTTTTCAAAACAACGACAACAATTTTTCCAAATGAAAGGAACTTTATCCATTGAAAAAAAAAAAAAAAGACAAAGAGGATAAGGATGCCGGGTGCCTCTTACAGCTTTATATTAAGCTAGATTTTCAATATTTCACTAACAATCTTTAAGTAACACCATGCTGAATTAACTAGAAGTTAATATATTAAGAAAAAAGATTTATAATCCAATACCTAAAATATACCAATAGTTAAAAAGAAGAAAAAAATTGTATTCTTAGCCCTATCAAACTGCCTAATAAATACCTAACAACCAAAAAGACAGTATTCATCTCTGAAAATTAGCATCTGACTTTTTTTTTTAATAAAAGGCTACTAATAAAAGGCTACTTGACAGTACACTCTTTGAGCAAGTATCAGTATTGCAAAAAAATACCTCTCCATCATAACCCAAATCCATATGAAAGAATAACTGGATTTATCACTAAGTTCTGCATTATCTTTTTTAGCAGGTCTAAAGCAAAACATTTTGCAAACTCAGACTTCAAATAATTATTTTCCCCTTCAAAACAGATGGCTTCTGCCTTCAAAGTTACTATTTTTATTTTTTTCAGTCCTACTAACTTACTTAAAAGCTCGAATTGGAGATTCAGATATGTGGAATTAAGTTAAAAAATATAAAAAAAACCCCTTACCTATTGACTGTGGAGATCTAAAACAGCTGAGTTTCAGTGCCAACAAAAAAGAAGTTTTATGAAAAAGATTCCTTTGCTTTTAATCTGCATTGTTATAATATCTGATTCCTATATTAATTTTTAAATGTAGCATTTAAGAAAATTATCTGTGCTTTTTTCTTTCTAAAAATTTAATACAATTGAAAAATAATTTAATATAGGAAAAGCCTAGTGTAACATATCAAAGGCCTACTCCAATCATTCTACACTTTCTGAAGGAAAGGATTACTCCTCATCTCTCAAGAAGCACTGGTGCAAGTATACTGATTCTCCTTGTGGTGAATAGCAGCCCACAAGTTAAGGAACTGATGCAAACTGGCAGATTTCCCCTTCTAATTCTGAGTCATATGCGTCATCTTTTTGTCAAAAGCTGGGAAGAAAAAGAGTCTCTCTTCCAGCCTGCCACATGAAACCACCTGCTTAACACAGAACAGACCGATATTGCAATATTGCTCTGCACATTGCTGGTACTTACACATTTGTTCTTGCTTTGTTAAAATAAACAAAACTCTGAAGACAGCTTTAATGTTAAAGACAGAACTTATTTCTTTGATTTAGGGCCAAAAATCAAGCTGGTAAAAGGAAAAAAAAAAAAGATAAGTCATGTTGGCATGAAAATGCTAATTATTAAATTGGTAGTGTCTTACCTGCAAAGACTAAGGATTCAGCTCCTTAAAAGCTTACATGTATGCTTGGTTTAACCACCTAGATTCAGACGGATTTGGTAGAAATTCTCAAAACCAGGAGTTCATGTGTGTGATTAAGACCTCTATCACCACGCAGATTGCCAACTAATCCCTCAAACCCATTTCCCCAACAAAACCAAGTCTCCCCGAAACCCCAGAGAACCTAATAACTTCTGTGGGTTAAATTTCACGTGCTCCATTTTTTTTTCTGTTGTGTATTTTGCAAATTAAGAACCAAGAAAGCTATTTTCTCCTTTGACAGATCGATCAAGGTCAGTCATTGTTGGACTATATATGCTGTGTGATGACACAATCTCTCTTTCAAAAGCTCCAGCACCAATTAAGGTTGGGCACATCATTGCCAGCAGATTACATATTTTCAATTTGCACTGGAGCTGCTCAGCAGACCTGCAGAAAATAGGTGTAAACATTTACTGAAACAATGCATTGTAGTATTTCTATTGATCTGTGGCACTGCCAGAGTGATTTTAAGTAAGTATTCTTTATAAAAAAACCCTTGAAAGCAGTTAAAGCAAGCTCAGGACATTTATAGTAAGTTGTGCAAAAGAATGCAAAGATAATACAACATGACAAAAGAATGTAAAGATAATACAACGTGACAAACTGATAGAGTGTAGGAACAAACATGCTATTTTAATTACAGATTTTTTATATATAAGTACACATAAAATATATAATAATATATTATATGCATCCACATAAAATAAGGTAGAGGGACAGGTATAAACTCACACTCACTTATAAAATGCTCTTTGATTCGAAATTTGTACTGTGCCACAAGCATTTACATGGCTGGGTGCATACATTTCAATATAATGAGAAAATTTGCATTGCTGAAATGAGAATACTGGAATCCTTTTCAAGAACCATAACATCATCATTTGCATTACAGGTTATTATTTACAAGTATTCAAGATGTTCTGTAAATCTATAATGAACATTGCAACTGTGAAAACTGTAATTTATTATGTAATGCACTGTTATATAAATTGTTTAAATTGTGCACAATACACACAGATGATCCCTCCTACTTGGTTAAATATTAAATACAGCACCTGATTACTCATCTTCAACTGAATTTTTTTTGTTACATTCAATATATTTTCTTTGATAAAATCACTGACACAAAGTACCCATCTGATGCCTTATCCTGGTTGTCAGGTGGTTTGTTTTTTCTTATTTATATGGAATTAATTATTCATACTGTCTTATTAATTTGAATAACTTTATAGTATTTTGAAAGAAAATATTTTACTCACCATGTATTCCAGTCCATTTTCCTTAGCACTTAACGAAAGACATTTAAATTTCTGTGCAATGTTATCTTACCCCACAAATCCTAGTATTTTTCAAAGAGTTTGCTGTAGCACATGACAGCAAATTAAAACTGAACAAAACCCACCACTGAATAAGTTATGCCTTTTTGACACTGGCAAGAGTGAGTGGGGTAAGACTCTCTTGGAAGGCGTTTCTTAACTTGTAATTCAGCAAAGCATAAGAACTGGCTTAACTTCCTCCTCATTCAGTGGAGCACTCCAAGATATGAAAAGTGAGTTAAATAAACGATTTAGGAGGGTAATCACAAAGACCATCTTTTGCCTGGGGAGACCCTGGAAAAGTCTCCATAGCTTCCCTCTTTTTCAGCTCAGGGCCACAGGCACCCAAACCTGTTCTGGAGTACACTGCTGCTTTGAATTGCCCTCTAGTGTTAGCCTTCATTAATTCCTACCTCAGTGACAAATTCTGTTCAGGTTTTTAATACTGGAAAATGGGTCAGCAACATAAGTTATATTCACATAAAAAAATAAAACAAAAAAACCTGAACAGCATTTCAAACTCATTTTCAGATCAGAAGACTCTGAGGTTGACAAATTAAGTATTACACACCAAAATACAAGAAGTTTGTATATCTAAATGGTAAAAAAATTAATCAAGGACAATAAATTTAAGAGATAACTTATGAATATTCTTGTATTTTATATTTGTTAGTTTCTTATGCAGTTTCACAAAAATATCAATTTCTGAAGCAAACACTCAATATTCACAGCCAAATTCACCATAATTATGATGATATAGCTGGGATCAAAGCCTTAATGAAAACAGAAGAGTTGCTGGTGTCAGAACAGAACACAGTCTAGCAGTACTAACACCCTGGAAGGAATTATTTTCTCACTGCTAGTTCAAGAGTCTCCTAGTTATACCCCAAACCCAGATGCAAATGAAGATCTAGATTTTAAACCTGGTAATTCTAGAAAGAAAGGCAAACATTTTCCTGAGAGTTTATTTCAAACCATATTTTATCTACTCTTGAATTGATTAGAGAGGCCATGAATTTGGGACCTAAAGAAGTATAGTGAACATAGTGAATAAAACTTTCATATCATATCGGCTACAGATTTCCACACACATAGAATTAAAGATGTGACCCTTTGTTTAAAAAAATAGTCTGGTCATACAGAACTAAAATCCCTAACTCATACTGACTGACTGAGAGATGAAAAATTATTTTTAGATTTTAGGTGATAACACAGATGAAGAAAAGTACAGATTTGACTGCTGGTTTTATAACTCCTGTGCTTGGCATTAAAAGCATCATTACCTTCTCTCCTGAGAGCCTGGAAAAAAACCTTTTGATTTTAGGGACAGGCTAATCAGTAGATAACATTCTTTCGATCAGGAGTTCTTTTTGCCTGTGCAAAATGCTGACATAAGTGTTACAGTATCAAAAGAGAACTCTGTCTGCAACAAACTTTCTTGTAAGAGCCATTGCAACTTTTCATAACAGATGGAGAGTCTTCCTTGTCTAATTCTTGAACTTGACTAAAATACGGACTAGCTTGCAACAAGAGAAAGTAAAGTGTTTTCAGAATTACTAATGTGATAGCATGCTTAAGACCACAGTATCTACCCATTCTACAGACAGAAAATTTTGCTCCAAAAGAATACAGAAATTATAAAGCAATTTTTTTCGTTTATCAGATCCACTGGAAGTCCTGTCTAAATCTAAAAATGACTTAGATGATGCTATATCTATGCTGAAGTAGAAAATTATCAGCTGAAGTTGGGAAGATCATAATCATGTCCATAATCACAATACTTTTATGTTAACTTTCATGTGAATGCTTAAATCCATTTCTTTCAGTGGGAAGAAAGGGAACTTTAAAAAACATTTCTTTATATTGCTCTTCATCTCAACTAGGAAGTGGACACATAAAAATCAAGAAAATCTTTGACCCGAAGGCTTAAAAAAACCCCAAACCTCAACAAAACCCTCAAAACAAAAAAACCCCATAGGACATTCACAGGAAATAAAAAGCAAGCTCTTGAAATTTAGTGGGTTAAAGGAAAGGTGTAAACACTGTAGAGGTATTTGCATATTACTAAGATTTTTCAGTACTACACAAATTAAGAAACAAATATTGCTGATTTCTTGCTTTCAGTAGATTATCTTGCTAGTATCGTTTGAGAAAAAGCACTTATTTTCTCATAATACTGCTGTAAAAATTTAGAATAATAACAAAACAACTTGTTTTCAGAAAGAAAAAAAAATCCTGCCCCAAAAAAAATCAGAAAAAAAATTACCATGAATATCCCTTTGTTTGAAATAAATTAAAAATTAACAAAGCTAGAAACAGTGGTTTATTCAAACACACTATTCAATAAGCAGTAGCATCTTCATACATGCCCTTTTTCATGTTAGTGTGCAAACAGCAGTCTAAACCAAGGTGGATTAAGAAGCCATCAATGCAGTAGTTGAACATTTAAGAACTTTGATTACATTTCTCATTCCCCCACCCAAAGCTTAAATGTACAGGTCTACATAAATTTCTACTTAGATTTTTGTTGAAATTAAACAAAAAAAATAATTAAAAAAAAGGGGGGGCATACCTTGCTTAATTAAATGTTTGCACTTGAGAAAAATAAGCACTTAAATATTCCAGTTAGCATATTTTAACTATTTTCCCTAAAGAATTTGCATATATTTTGCTTTTCTTTTCCTATTGCCTTGCAAGCCCATTTTATCAAGAGACAAGGAAAAATGATGTGTAAGTATGCCAGTCTTAAATCCTTTCTATATACATGTTTCATTAAATACCTGATGTAATAGTGAAAGTTAATGTCTATTTAAATCTAATAGTATACAAAACTCCATTTTAAAATAATGTTAGGGCTGGATTTAGTTTAAACTAACAAAATCCAGAAAATTCAGTTGCTTCAGATATCAAAACTTAAAACAGTCATGCCTAAGATATCACAGGGTTTCAAACAATGGTTGATTTTGCATCTGTTGTAATAACTAGGCACGGGTTGCATTTATAGCTACATATCTCTTCCAGAAATATTATTTAAGTTGCCCTTGAAAAGCAAGAGAAGTCATTAAGGAAAGCAGAAATGAGTTGTCAAAGTAATCTGCAGTTCCTTTTGGATGAGCAATAAGCATGCATTGTCAGCTTTCAAATTATGATTCAGCCAACAAGGTCTGTGGAGCCTCAAGTGTTACACCTACAGCAGGAATAGTAAAAGTGGCCACACAAAGTTCCACGTCTGAAGAACTTCAACAAAGAAGGCTGTACATTTCTATCTTTTCAACTTCATTCCAATTAGATATTGCAAAACAATTTACAAAGTCAAGCACACAATTTGCAATAGCCACATCAGCAATTTTTAAGGGGCAAGCACTGCAGCCCTTATTTCAGGCTGAACTTCCAACAAAATCAATGGCAGTTTTGTTAAATAAGAACTATAATAGCAGAGGGTAAGAGTAGAAAAATAAAAGAAAACACACTCCATCATCTTTCTTGAAAGTTTCACCCACTCTTTGGGTCAAGGAACAGTCATGCTGACTACCAATTACAAAATAGCTCTAGAAAAAAAAAAATTAACATGGGCCAAATTTCAGCACAAAAGTGTTCTAGAGCAAATCAACACTTAAAAAGTGGATTTTAATGATAACTGACAACTGCAACAGTCTTACAAGATATTTGACCTCATAAATGAGTAAGACTCAATTACTATATTACTGAAAAACTCTTTGCACCTTATAAAATCATTTAGACTTGTCTAAAGCTCAAAATACTTTAATATATATTAAATTTATTAAAGGAAAGAAAGTGTGCATCTAATGAGAATACGATTCTGCAAATCCTTATTCATGGTAGTGAGTTATTAGGACTACTTGTGTATTTTCAAGTTTGAAGGATTAGGCCCTAAATTTAAAATCCCTTTGATTTACAGTTGTGAACCAGAAACCACCTTTTTTTGCTGAATAAGAATCTATAAGAAATACTCTGAACTTGTGTCAGACCAAGGAACACTCCATCAAACTTTCACCTTTTAAATATCTCACAAGGGAGCCTTAGATACCTTTGCCTTGCAATATAATCCTGATTTTCATTAACAAGAATGTAACTGCTTTTGTACAGAAAAAAAAAAAGAATTTTTACAGAAAAACTGTTAAGTGAAATCCTTATTTTTCTAAGAGAACCAGGAGAAAAACAGAGGGGAAAGAAAAAAAAAAAAAGAAAAAACCTAACAGAAATGCAGTACATTCAGAGCAGTTTCTGAACAGACCGAAATATTTATTTTATTTGGGAGCACATTAGGCATGTTACCCAAACACCAGCACTAATAAAAGTACTTTCACTGTGTTTAAACACATAAAGAAAGGATTAAAAAATAAAGAATTACCTACTCACTAATTACAAACTTCAAAGCTTATATATAATCTTGTTTCACTTCCCATACTCAACTGATAATTTTCTGTAGGTGGTCTTAATTACCTAAAATTATGGTATTTTATGAAAAATATATTCAGAATATGTCTGCCTTCAATACTTCTATAACAGGAGGTGTATTACTGGTAAATGCCAGCAATTCTTCAGTTCTACTAGCCCTTAGTTACAACAGTGAGGAAATATGAAATTTACACCTCACTGGATTTGCTTGGTAGAAATCAGCAGTTCAGGGATAATCTGAAATTTTGGTTTTTTAAAACTTCTCCTATTTTATGGTACAATTACTTCCTACAAAAAAAATGTGCTCTTGAAGACAGACAGAACTGATTAAGGATAAAAACTGAATTCCAGTTGAAAGTCTGAATTGCTAAAGTCACAACACGGTCATAGAATTTGTTGTACTAGAGCATATTCTGCTGAAGATACACTCTTACAGTTTTTACTACTCCATTTAGTATTTAAACAAATTTACTCAATCCAAGACCAGTTACTATTTTAATTTCAGTTGTCTATGTAAATGGTTAGTTAAGACTATTCGTATATGAGCAGATAGGTTATGATTACTCTGAATGGATTTCTCAGTTTCAGCCAAATTAGTACTTTCAGTGCAAAGCAGGACTTGTAATATGAGTGTAGCATAGTCTGTATTAATTACTCTGACATGTTCACTGTTTTACTATATAATATCTGTTTACTGACAAATAGATTAAACAAATGAAATTTCTGACTATTCTGGTACAGGTGGAGGGCTCTGAAGACCACTTTTCTTTCTCTTTTCTGCTTCTTTGTTTGTCAGGTAGCTAGCTTATTAATGTCTTTAAAAACAAATTTTACCCACTACATGGAAATGCACTCAACTACCTCTCTACTCTATTCTATTCTTTAACACATCCTCCCAAAAAAAAAAAAAAGTTATTGAAAAATAATTTTTTTATTTCATTCATACTCTGTTTTTGGATTAGCAACATTTCAGTTGGAGTAATTCCCAAGACATGAATAGGAGAACAATACTATATGGAGAATTTATATAACTCAAATGGATCAAGGCTGTTGCAAACTCAGCTTTTTAGACATACTTTTGGCCACTTCATTTCCTTCTGAGCACAGCTTGTGTAAATACTTTTACTTAGTCTTTTATAATTTTACAGGAGAAGTGTAAAGAAGAATTATTTTAGCAAATAATAAATTCGTGAATAAACCCAGCATAACTGGCCTATTTTGAAAAATCTGAATAAGTTATACTTGTGTACACATTTTTTAAAATAAAGAACATATGAAATAAGAGAAATGTTAATACAATATATACCAAGCTCATGCTCCATCAACCTTGCAGAGAGTTTTTCAATCACAGGAGTAAGTCGTTCTCCAAAATCAGCTCTCTATTGAAAGGTCAAAACCTGCAATAAAAATGTCATGTATTATAACATATTTCCAACACCCAGAGTTTCATGGTTGATCCCCAAACATAGACGTAGGTCATCAGCTTGACCCTCGCATTGTCTATGTTACAGGAAATCCTAATTTTAAAAATACTTTTTTTTTTAAACCAAACTGACTTGATTAGGAACACCTGTGATATGCCTCTTTATTATCAGAAGCCTCCTGAAACAAATCAGATTAGCATGTTTCTGCTTTCATTCTTCCTGCAGCATTTTAAGATGAAAAAGAAAAAAAAAAAGGGGGGGGGAGTAAGGGGCGTTGTTCTCCTTTCCTACCCACTACTAATCTCTCCCTCCACCCTCAAACAAGCAAATAAGTTTTTAAGTAAGTAAACTACTTAATGGATGTGTGATTATTACTGTTATATTTCCTAAAATATGCTACTGACTGTTAAGTATTTAAGTTCTTGTGTTTCTCTTTAAGGAGTTCTATTTTTTTTTTTGCTCTTCAAGCTAGTAGCATTATTGCCTTTATGACAATGTAGCCTACAAATATTAGCTACTTTAAAACATAATACTGGAAGAATCACTGTCATATAATACACTCTGAGAGACTAAAAAAAAAAAAAAAAGTTGCCATGATCAGGTAAGAACAAAGTATAACTTGAGAGAGGTAGTAACTATAGTCAAATAACTGGAGGAAACATTGCATTCACACAGCCAAAATCTTAAATATATTTTGACTTTATTTGGACTTTTTTACTGTAGGTACTATGACAAGATGCATCCTAGGCCTAATAAATGAGCAGCTGATGCCTAGATCAAGTCACCTGCTTACAAATATTTTCATAAATCTGTTCTTTATTCTTTAAGAGTATTCCAGAAAATACTAAACCACCCCCCCATAGCTATGGAACTATAATAAGCACCCTGCTTTAACAAGACAAAAGAGTTTGTCTGTATTTTCATGTATTCCACACATTATCTATTTTACCTTTAAAAAAAAGTTTCTGTTCTTAAACCACAAAAGTTGTGGTCTCCCCTGCGCTTATACTGAGATTTAACATACTTGAAGATAATATTGAAACTGGACTCACAAAAGGTATTTAAAATGAAAATACAAGCCTAAGCCTTTTGATGTGTAATTATCTTTTTCTGAAACCAAATCTTCAAGTGAATTTCAGTTCATGCTAAATAAAATAATTAGTTGTGACCAGATTAAATGTTGAGAAGTTTATTAATAATCTATTTACTGTGGATACACTCATTGCAGTGTCTGAAAACAAACTAAATAGTCACGGGGCGGAGGGGTCCTATTTCTAACAGTGGTTTCCTTTAGACATTATTAACGATCACTGAAAGTCACTCCTATCTTTCAGTTTTGTGCAATATAACAATATCGCCTTTAGTTTTAGAACACATCTCGGGAAACCTTTAACAAAATAAAAGCTAAATGTACATAAATTACATTTTCTACTGTTGTGTGTATGAGGTCATCCTTATATACTAGTAACTGTTCATTACCGAGATATGGAAAAGTGTTTAGAATTACATAAAGTTAAAAAGCTTATTATTCTCTGTAAAGAGAACTTTTTTTTTGTTTTTAATGATATGCTAAAAATATTATTAGATGCAAATATTAAAGTAAAAAATTGCCCAACTTTAAATGTTAGCTGCACTAGAGCTCAAGTCTGCTACCCTCCTCTAATATTCCTGCAAACCTTCTGGATTTCTCATACAGCACACAAAGCTAGGATCAAAACTCTTCCTCAAGTGTGGTACTATCAACTGTCCAGTGAATAGATGTATCCCAAAGTTTCTTTATTAGAATGAGCGTTTTAAAAACTTACAAGAAAGGGTTAAAAAAAAAATCACTATGGACATTGCCTTATATCCTATGGGCAGAAATTTTTATACCTAGTTTACTCAAAGAATTTCTGAAATTGTCCAGTATCCACAATGAAGATATTTTTCAATAAAGATTTCTTTTGAAACCCAGTTTATCTAGCTTGTTATATATTCATACATCAGTAACCTAAAAATTCTACATAACTCCTGCCAATAATGCACAAAAAAAAAAAATTGCAAAGCAACATTTTCACTATCTAAAAAGAGGTTACTGGAAATCCATGGCTACACCTCTCCATTCTGTCTGATGTCCCCTTTCTATTTGTGAGGTATATCAATTTTTTTCTATCTTTAAAATACTTTACTAGTTCTATTAAAAAATAGATGGCTGTGAGAAGAGTCACAGGGGACTATGTACGACAAAAATTTGGGCAGCCTGTCTTAAAAAAAAAAAAGCTTTACTGATAATAGAAAACATCATAATTTTTTGAGATCAGGTGCCAGTGTTAAATACTAAGTGTTTAGAACTTATAATAATATGTAAGTATAAAAAAAAAATAAATCTGTGGAGAATACTTGTTGATGTACATAAAGTTATTTTTAGTTTTAAAAACCTTCTGATAAAAACATTTTTCTGTTTGTACACAAAAGCCTACAATTTCATTCCCTATTTCTTTCACAGACAATCAAAACTAGTCCAAGATGCGCTCTGCCTTTGACAGTTTGTAATGAATGTAAATTACTGGAATGACTTGCAACGGGCCTTTGGGTGTGGGTGGATGACTGCCTCTACAAAACAGAATACCTGCAGCACATTCGTAGAATACAGCGATAAGCTTCTTGGTTCTCCCTTACATGTTCAGTAGTTAATTGCTTCCCAATGAAAATAATAAAACCCAGTAAGGTCCTATAAAAGAAATACTAACTGTTATGTGGCTACTTTTTCTGTAAAGAAAGGTCATGTGGTTGTACATGTGTAAAAGTGTGACAGAAAAGCGTTGATACACCTGTTAGGATGGCTTTTGACATTCAAGCTGGATGAGATGTGCACCTTCACACAGTGTTCAAAGGCAAGCTGTACAGAGCCAGGTAGTCTGTAGGCAGTTCCAGTTGCACTTCACTAAGAATTTGACTTATTAGTCATAAAAAGAATTAAGGAATTAAAGACTCCAATTTATTTTTCCTTCTATGACATTGCATTTTAGATGGAATAGTAAGATGTTCAGAATTCCAGAAGCTAAGGATAAAAAAAACAAACAACAAACCAAACAGAAAAAGAACCCCATGATACCTTGGTATCGTATATATAGTCTCCCTTTAAAATGTTACTACATTAAGCTTCCTATCAAGTACTAACCTAACACATTAAAAAGTCACATAGATAAACAGTCACACTTTCAAATTACTGTTGTTTCTGAAAATTAAAAAAATCTCAAGAGTTATTCCAAGTTTCAGTAGATTTATATCTATAAAATGAAAGGGTACTTCTTGGAAACTTTCAGTACAACTTAGAGGGAGGAAAAAAAAAAACCAACCAAACCCCAACCAACTGAAGCTTATTTGGATGTTTTTCCTAAGAATCAAGATAGATGATTAGACTGAAAAGAAACAAAGGAAAAAAATTAATACACACACTATGCTATGTGGTGTATCTAGGCAATGTTTTTGTAAGCACAGAACTTCAACTTTCACCGATCAATATAAGTATATATGTTTAGATCTTTAAGTTCAATTGATATTTCCTCTAAATGTAACTTTTCCAGGGCAAGTAATCCCAGTTAATGTTTGACATTTTAACTAAGGTAAAAAATGCAGGCAGCTCTACAAGGGTCTATTTAAGCTACATGATTTTTTCCCCCAAAATATTTCAAAATAAGGAGTACATCAAATATAAGAAAGGAAAATCTACTTAACATACACTATATACTGATATTAGATTGCTTACTGCTTTTGCTTTAGCCACACCCACCTTTATGTAATTGTAAAATATGGGACTGGTGCAGCTGAGAAATTAAAAGCTTAAAAGAACAGTTGTTTCATGTAGTCAAATATGTGCTAAGCAGAGATTTTAAATAAAATGAAAAATAGATAAAAATTGCATTCTATTGAACATGACTATCGAATAGCGGGAAAAAATGCATATGCACCTGTACAATACTGAATTATAGGGGTTTTTTTGTAAATTAGCTATGAGTCAGGACAGTTATTTCATTGAAAGTGAAAGTCAGTGTTTGTGAGTGCACTTCCACAGCTGAATAGTGTAAATCTCTTCAAATCCTGATATTTCAAAGTATACAGAGCTACAATGAAACAGCTCTGTGCACATTCCCATACTGACTGCTAAAAACGTTTCTGAAAACACTCTGAAAGTAATCATGCAAATCTAAAGAAATGAGTGCTAAATCTCAATAAGATCTTACTAGTATCGTAATTTCAAGGATTAAGCTGAATTTTCTGTCAAGGCACAAAGGTAAGAATTGTGGAGACAAAGTAAGAAGCAATTCCCAGGAAAAAAATGACTTGAAAAGTATAATTTGTGTACCGGATTAAAAGAATCCAGGGAAACTAAGGATTCGAGGCAGAAAAATCTCCTTGAACTATTGCATTTCTGCATGACACAGAAAATACCTTGAATCACAATCTAGTTGCCATGCTGGAAACGCTAAGTTTTGCATTTCACTTTAAGACTACACGCTCTCAGCCATGTACACAGAAATCTTTTGTACAGCACTTCTGCACCCCAACTCTTCTCTACGTCCCTCCTACGTCCCTCGGTTAACTCGTTATTTTCGGTGGCCAGGGTGCAAAGCGCAAGGCGGCCGCTTCTGGCTTTGAACGCCGCGGAGGGATGCGCGGGGGGGTAACGGGGGGACGGAGGGGGGCAGTGGGAGGGGGGGAAAGAGGAGCGGAGAAAGGCTGTGACCCGGTCCAACCTCCCAGCCCCGCGTCCTCGCAGGCAACCAGGGGGGGCAGCAGCCGCTCCAGCCTCCGCTGAACGGGCGCCTTAACGGGGGGCCCGATGCTGCATTAGCTGCGCATCCTGAGCGCCCGCCAGCTCGACGGCAGCCCCGCCGCTCACACGGCATCGGGAAAAATATCCATACGCCTTCCTTCCTCGGGACGAAATAATAATTAAAAAAATTAAAAATAATAATTTAAAAAAAAAAAAGGTCAGGCGGCCGAAAGTGAAGAGGGAAGTAGGAAGAGGAATAAAAAGTAACGCTTAGAAATTGTGGCTGTGAAGGAGCCCACTGGCCTGGCAGCGCCCGAGCTTCCTCCCTGCCCCACTGCACGGTGCTGTCCCCGCCGGCGCTCCCGCCACAAAAAGATGCCTTGTGAGCCTGTGTGCGCAACTCCGAAACGCGAGCACCCACGCCAAACCCGGCCCCGAGGGGGTTAAACGACGTCGTGGAGGAAAAGGCACCGTGTCACATATTATGTGTGTCTGTGTGTGTGTGTGCGGCGGGGGAATCGCGCAGCGCACAGGCTGCGAGAGATCTCGGCGCCTATCACAATAAGCACGATCGCGTTCATACAGCTACGAGAGACCGAGAGCTGCTGGCCACCGAGAAATGACATAGAAACAGCCACCAAAAAATAGCTAAGCCAATGACAAATAGCGACCCGGGTGACAGAGACAGAGAATTTTGTAGGCGGAGAAGAGAAGGTGAATGGCCAGCTCTGATCACAGTATTAGGCTGGGCTATCTATGGGGAGGGTATTTACTCGTTTTTGGGGTGTGTAGGAGGAAAGGAAAAACACCTAGAAATAGCTGGCACGATTTAAATGGTCTCGGATTATGTTTCCCCCCCCCTAGTTCAGGAAGGAAACTCGCGTTTTAACGCTAAGAGGGGGGAAAATAGCCCTGTGCAATAGGCGATGAAGAGCACTTTGGTCCTTCGTTAATACCCAAAGGGCCAGAGACGATAAATATGACAGCATGTGGCAGCACGACCGTCACCCGGGTTCCTGCAAAAGGCGGCTCCGTATCGCGACACGGGAAATTAAACGCTTGAGTGGGAGGTGGAGAAAGCGCTTAAACGGAGAAGTTAATCTGCTAACATGGAGAGGAAACAAACGGAGAAAAAAAAAACCCCGAAGGTTGTCCTCTTATTTTTTTTTGGGGGGGGGGGAGGAGGGGGTGGCGGAGAGAAGGGACGGGGAAGAGAAAGAGCGAAGGGGCAATAATCCAGCTTACGAAAACACTGGGATAGAGGAAGGAGGAGGCGGGGGGCGGGGGGGGGGCGGCGAGCGAGAAAGAGAGATGTGCATGTAAGTGGGGAAGTCATCCTGGCTGCTGCAGAGCAGGGAAGCAGGAGCCTCCGTGTCCCGAACGCTGCCCTGAAATTTCCACGGCGGAGAGGCAGGGGGAGAAGGCGGGAGGGAAGAATCCACTGGGGAGGGGTGTTGGAAAACCGGGGTGGGGGGAGATGAGGGATAGCCCGTCCTGTCATGTCCCGGGAGCGCGGGGCAGGGGGACCCTCCGAAGCTCGGGCTGTCCCGCGGCTCCCGCGTCCCCCGCCCGCCTCCCCGCCGCCGTCTCCGGGCCGGGCCGGGTGCGAGCCGGGCTCCCGGGCTCCCCGGCCGGGCGCGGTGCCGCCCCGGGGGGGTAAGCGGCGTTACCTGCCGGAGGAGACGGCCGCTCCCGCCCGCTCTTGGGGCTGAGGGAAGCAAGTGACAGATCCTCCCAGGACCTGCCGCCGCTCCGGGAGCCTCCCGCCCCCTGCCCACCGGGCTCCTGAGGTGACTTTTCCCGGCGGCGGGGCGCAGGTTGCCCCCGTTTGCCGAAGACGCGCTTCCCCCGCCCGCCCGCCCAGCTCCCTCTGCCCCAGCCGCGCCCGCTCCCTTTGGCTCTTACCGCCTGTGCTGGCGGCGGTGGTACCCGCTCCGAAGCGCGGCGACGAGGGTGTAAGCGGGGATAGCGCAGGGTAGAGGGGGGCGAGTTTGGCGGGGCGGGCGGGCGGCCCCCGCGCCCCGCGCCTCCCCCGCGGCGGCGGCAGCAGCGATGCGATCGGGCATCACTCGAAAATGGCGCCGAAAGAACGGAGGGCTCTTCATTCAAATTCGTTAGCGCCAGCCCCGCCGCCCCGGGGCATGCCGGGAACGGGGGGGGGCGCGCGGGGGCTGAGGCGGCAGCGCCGCACGGACACGGCGCTCGCTGTCAATGCTGCCCCTCCCCCCCGCCCCCCTGCGCCCGCCACCCGCCGCCCGCGCGCGCTCCACGCCCTCCCCGCTCAGCGCGCGCTCCCGACCCAACCGCCGCTAATGGGGAAAGGGGGGGGGGCAGGGAAGGAGGGAGAGAGGGAGAGAAATGTCACCCGTAGCCCGGGCCCGCGGGGGAGAGGTGGCGCGTTAGAGATGGAGAGAGAGAAAGAGAAAGATAGAGAGGGGGAGCGAGACCTCCGCCGGCCCCGCGAACTTGTCAAGGTAAAGGCGCTGGTGGGGATACGGGGGGTGGTGGATAGCGGGGGAGGGGGGGAGACGACAGCGGGTTTGGGGAAGGTAGGGAAAGGGTTTTGGGAAGGTAGGGAAAGGAAGCCCGGCGGGGGGAGGGGGATGTGCGCCAAGAGGACCTGAGGAAAATATGAACAGCGCCTCCCCCACATTGTCCCCCCCGCCCTCCCCCTGCGCCTCTAAGGACCCCCGCGGCTCCCGCAGCGCTCAGGTTGCAGCGTGACCCCCTTTGCCCCCCCCCCGTCTCCCCCCATAGCCGCGCACCCCGCCGCAGCCGGAGGAGGGTTGGGAGCGCTCGGCGCTTGCCCGCAGCACGCGGGCCCGATCCCGATCCCGCCTGGCAGCCGCCGCTCCCCATCCCCCTCCCGCCGCCGCACCGGCTGCGCGGCGGCAGCGCCCCGAGGGCGCCCCGCCGGCCGCCCCCCGCCCGGGCTTGCGAACAGCCCCTGAACGGCGGAGCGGGGCTGTGTGGGAGCATCGCAGGGCACAGCGGGCCCCGAGTGCCCTACACTGGTCATTTGCAGCTATCAACAAAAACACTGTGCACTTGAACT